CCTGTCCTGTCCCGCGTGGGGCTGCGGGGACTACACGGAAACGGAACCCGCGGAGCGGCCCTTCCCCCCGCCCCGCCCCGCCCACGGCGTCCGCTCTGGACACGGAGCACGACGTTGGTCACACGGGCGCGTCCCCTGGAGAGTCTAAAACGTCCACCCTCGCCTCTGCCACGCGCAGTCCGGACACTTCGTCGGGCTGGAAAGGGCTCCCGACCGCCTGCAGCGTCGCCCGAAAGGAAACCCCGCTGTCTGTGGGGGCGCCGTGGTCCCCAGAGGGGCAGGGCTTGCTCCGGCCACCCGTGGGGCTCCTTGGGAGCCTGGGAGCCGTCACCCCCCTAAGAATGCTGTGGATTTTGCAGCGGATCCTGAGCGGCAGGGCCCGCGGCTCTGCAGACACCGGTGGTGGCTGTGCTTCCTCACGAAGCTTTGCATTCTTTCTGCACATGAATGGGACATCCACGCCCACAGGGATCCTCATAATCTACGGCCGTCGGGGGAGGAATCATAAGGAGAGATACAGATGAAGAATTTTGCCTCCGAATATAATTTGTAGTATTAGTTATTACCCCGTAAGCCTGGAGACCAGTGACCCTAACAGTAAGGGTTTGCTGAGTCAGTGTCGTAGACACTGATGATGGACTTCATGGAAATGATGTTCGCAAAGACGCTGAATAACACTGTGGAAGACGGTGGCCCTGCTCTTCTTCATGATTTTCCATATTTACCAAGAGATTTTCTTTATGACTAGCCGATACTCATTTAGAAGACGCTAAGTGTCTTTGAAAAAACGGTAGTTGGGCGTCGTCAGCATGGTCAGCATCGCTGTCTGCTTGCCAGATGTGTCTAGAACTCTGGGGAGAAGATCTCCCCACCTAAGTTTTGAAATTTACTATTTTGATTACAGTGAACCCAAATAGAGGCCCAGTTGCTAACAAGACAAAATTAGGCGCGGGAAGCATGTCAGCGTTTGCTCAATCTTGGTAGGCTCTGCACGATACCAAGAGGTCAGCCCCGTACCCCGTGCCTGGATTCCAGCTGGAACAAACTGGAATGGACACCTGGGCGACCCAGAGTCACACCATTTTCAGTTTGATTTCCCTCTTTCTGCAAGATCCCAAGACTCGGCTGAGGGCAGCTCTCTAACTGCACCTGCAGCTACAAGAACCCCACTTAAAGCTTTCCCACCACCCCCTGCAAAAAAGCTTCTAAACACCCAACTCCACAGCTGAAAGAGGCTCAGAGGTTCTCTGGCCCCAATGCCCATTTTATTGATGAGATGACTGCTGTGCAGGAAGTTTGAGAAACTGCCTCAAGTCAAAGACTTGACTGAGCCGGCACAAGTCTCCTAACGCCCAGACGGTGCCATTTCTGTTAATACAACTTCCCCTTTATGTTCATATTTTAAGCACAAGCATATTTTAAGTACACTAGGGTAGCTTCATTTTGAGGTATTCTAGATAGAAATTGTTATGATCTTAAATTAAGTTTTAATCCAGAAGGAGATTTGATGGTGAAAATACGTTCAAGTTGAGCTTTGAATACTTAAAAATATAAAAATAAAAACAACTACTCTTTCTTGCTTTTTGTTGTTGTTAGTGAAGTCATATCAGAAACCATCACTTTAGCTGCTTTTCTCATCTGTTGCCATCCCCGCCTTAGCTTTTATGGTTTCAAATGCTTCTTCGAATTTTGTCTCAATAGCTAATTTTGGTTGTTAATTCCCCTGTTTCCTTTGCATGAGACCAATACGGAAAGCGGGTGGACACCCCAAACCATTCTAAACCAGGGACTTTCTGTGCCGTGAGAAAGGAAACTGCTTTTCCAGAATGATCACAGGAAATGAAATCATGGGGTCTGAGCGTTGGCATAACTGACATGCACAGAGACAGTGGAATGGGTCTTAGCCCAGCAATAAACATTGTCTAGGACCTGCCCACTCAAGAGTGACACCTGTGAAATACAGAGAACCATAGGGTCACGGCTGTGAGTGGACAGAGAAAAAAATGGAAGTGAAATTAAGTTAAAGGAAAAGTCTGTATTTAAAAAATAATTTCGACGCACTATGGAGTTGCATTTAATATAAAATTAATAATCTAGACAATACAGTTTGTGTATAAACAGAAGAATAGATTTTTCCTATTCTTCTTAATCTTTCACTTCCTATTTTTCTGTAATGGCATTTTCATTGCCCTTAGATTTCCCCTAATAGTCAGCCTGTCTTGCATCACCTCTGTTAGCCCAGTCTCCTCGTTTACTCAGAGTAAATGCCAATGTGGTTGAAAGAGCAGGAACCTGCAGGTCAAAGGGTGCCCAGGGACCCAGGCTCTGCCATTCTGGGAATGAGACTGGAGAAAAGCAGTACAGGTTCCACATGCTCCCTATTTTCATAGGAAACATGGGGATAGTGAGTGAAGACAAAGGTATGAGACGCGCCTCCTCACTCCAGAATATCACACATTGTAAAATCCGATGGTGGGTAACAGCAGCCGTAACAGCAGACAGTCACCAGCCTGGCACTCGGACTCTCAGATCACTAAGTCGAGGCGTACAGCAAATATACATTTCTATAAAAGTGCTTTGGATTGTTATGTTGGTTTTAAACTTTTCCTTTTAAAAGTGGGCTATTGTGGACTAGAATCCACACAACAGATGAGGAAGGGATGCGCCCGACACAAACTTCAGAGAATATGGGAAGCTGTAATTTTTTCCGTTAGGGAAACCGCCTACCTTTCAGAAGATGGTGGTCCTGAAATAAAATTGGTTATTCTAGTAGGTTATGGCATGCTATCAGTTTACTTATGAATTTAACCATGAAGAAAAAAGTGTACTGAGCACCAGTAGTGGGCATTCCTAGCAGGCAGGCGTTATGCCCAAATTAAGGTGCAAATGGACACTGCCCATGGAGCGTTCAGAGCCCAGCCAGTTGGGAGATGGCCAGCAGTGCCCCTGCACCTCTCCTCCGAGTGATGGCCTCGGGCACCGTCCTCCAGGCCAGTGTGAGCCCAGGTGTGCTTTCCTCTGGGCGCCTTCCCCTCGTCTCCTCGCTGGGCTTCCTTCCCGCCAGAGCACCAACCATAGTCTCTGGACCTCCCCTCTGCTCACGAGCCAGGTGCTCTCCACAAGTGTACAGGTTCTCTTGCCTTAGATCTTACAACTGTGTTCATGCTTTCCTTTCCTTGAGAGATAATTTCAAAACTGTAGAGAAATCTGAAGACTCATTTGTCCCAGTCCCCAAACCCAAACCTTGTTGGCTGTGGTTCAGTGTTTTATTTCACAGCCAAAGCCTGTCCAATGCACTACGCTGTCACAGTTAACACTCAGGGAGTCCTCGGAGAAGCCACCATCATTCACGGTGTCCACTGGCCCTGGTGACCCCTCAAGCCCCGCTCTAGGGTCTTGATCGAATCAATCACCTTTTTTTTTTTTTTAGAGTCTCTCTTCATTTTGGAGCCAGATGCCATCCCCAGATGGAGGCCCTTAGGCTGCTGTTCAGGTTCTTTCTCCGATGCTCCTTCAACCCGTTGCCTCCCTCCAATGGGCCTCTGACTCACTAGTAATTACTGTCCGACCCCAAAAGAAGAGAAGCACTTACCTTCACCATTAAACCAGTCTTTTAAGCCCTTGCTATAAGGCTACCTTGAAGTTGTTTCTGTCTCTTCTCCCCTTTCAAACAGTCCTATAGTTTCACAAAAATAAATAAGAGCCACGTGGCAGGCTGATGGCAGCAGGTTGGAGAGCCCGAGTCAGGCTTTGCTGCTTAATTTTTAACTTCACGTCCAAGTTCTCACTGATAGAATGTGCATCTCAGAAGATGACACCATGTTTTTCTGCTTTGAACTGTGCGCTCGGCCGAGAATGTCAACAAGACTTTTTCCTGAAGGGAAGGCGCCCTGGGGATTGGAGGGGTGAGGCCGAGCCCACCTTCTAGTGTTTTCTGTGGCCTGGGACAAGTCACTTAGCTCTTTGGACTGGTTTCTACATCAGTAAAGAAGGGTTATAATGCTCAACATTGGGCAGATTAAATGAGACACACATGCTAACTGGAGGTAAGTCTTCAATAAGTGAGAAGTTCCCAGCAAGCGACTTTCCTTAAGCATTGGGTGCCCACAGTCTAGTAAATGTGAACTTTGGCTACTGTGATATCTTCCCATGAAGCCACTCTGTACGCTTCCTTCCTAACCCCACCTCTGCTTGTCTCCTGATTCTTTGACTTGTGTCCTATTTGTGATAATTAACTTTTGGATTCAAGGTTTCTGTAGCTGGTCCAAGCCCCTCACCCCCTTTATGATTTTTACAGAACCAAGTGTTATTACATCAAGTTGGTGAGTGCTGCACTTAAAGAACACGTGTCTTAACTTATAAATGTCAAGAGTAATGTAGCAGAAAAGATCAAGGATCCTTTAAAAAACTAGGTCGCCCTGGCTGGGTATTACCAGGTGCTTTCAATTGGAGCGGTGCAATCCCAGTTTTCCTTTTGAGAATTTGCTGTGTTCCAGGCATGGCGCTGGCTTCTGAGAACAGCAATTTGTTTAACACCCGACATTTGACTCCACAGAGTTCAGAGTCCGCTAAGTGAGATGGACCCAAAGACAAACTAGGCTGGAAAGTAATGAAAACAAACAATTCAATAAGGACCCTGCCAACACTGGGTGTAGAGGGAGGGCTTCCTGTAGGAGGCGGGGCTGTGGTCCGTCTTCTCGGATGGCATGAATGAGTCAGGAACATGAGGAAGGACCTTCCAGAAAGCAGAGCCATGTGTGGGGAATCAGGATTGTTCAACATGGCTGGGGATTAAAGTACAGAGGTAAACTTACTGGAAACATGATAAACATTAAAAAAAAAAAATCAATTACTTTTCCCAGTAGTAGAAGAAGTCAGGAATGGAAATAGAAAAGTTTTTATTGCTCTGTAGCAACAGTTGGGTAACAAGGTGGTAAAAAAAAATCACTGTAAAACTAACCAAAAGGTGACTACAAAAAACCAACACCTATGGCCTATGCATGTAGAATTATGTGTGTGTGAATACACATAAGTACACATTTATCTAGGGGTGTGTGTGTTGACGTGCATGTATGTGTATGTATATGTACACACATACACACAGACAGACACACACATAGAAATGTGAAAACTCAGGCCCACCCCAGACCCAGTGACTACTTAGCACTGTAATCATTTCATGTGCCTGATAAATTTAAGAAATGCTGTCTTAGGGCAGTGGAAGAAAACTGCGAGGGATTTTCTCAGCATGCAGAACAGAGAGACCAAGAAAAACGTGTATGAAAATGCAGTTAGGAGTTGGAGAGTGTGCCTATGACTGAATTTGCTTACGAGAAATAAAAACACGTTCTGCAAATTGCTGCGTGAAATTGGCACTTTGGAAATGTGTTGTATTTTCCTGGAGCCCCGGCACACTGTGTGTCCACATATGTGCGCTGAGGGAGCCCAGGCACCACAGATAAAGGTCACTTTCCAGAATGTTACATAAACGGCCCTGTGACCTGGTCCTGCTGACCCCTCGCCCAGATTTCCCGGTCCCCAGACTTGGGAATTTTTTTATCTGGGTGCTTTGGGTTTTTCAAAAATCAAAATGTGTTCTCTCCTTTTTCTGATTCCATAGTAAGTAAATGCTCTTTGTATAAAACCATAAACAACAGAGAAAAACCTAAGGAAGAAAGCCGCATTCATGGAAAATCCCTCTCCCCAGAGCTGATTACCTGGGATACGACGCTCGCTCTCTCCTCTTCCCGCCCTCCCTCCAGCAGAGTTTATGGGACTTTTCTGTGTTCCTCCACTCACATTTTCAGGTTCACCTTCCAGGACCACGCCAGGTCAGACCCCAGCGTCCGGTCTCCTGCCCGTGATAACATCCCGGCCATGGCGAGTCTGGTCTCCGATCCTCTGGGCAGCTCGACTGAGGCACCAGTCGCCAGCCCGAGTCCGTGGGAGATGTTTAATTGTTTTCAAGGTTTGCTATTTCCCAACTATTATGGCTTTATGTTTGAAATAGAGGAGAATGAATTTTATATTAATCATTCATCTTGGACAAAGTCTTTTTAAAAAACAAACAAAACTAGATTATTAATTTTTTGAGTGTGTCCAAGAGTGATAGATACCTTACTAACTGCTGCCTTGAAACTACCCTCCGAGGTTCAGTTCTGGGGAGGGGAACAGCATCCTCCCGCCTCCCGCCTCTGACTTCACTGTCAGACATGGAAATTATGCAGAGAGCAGCTATGGAGGCCTCCAAACTCCAAAACACAAAGTGTAACAGGCAGGGAGGGGAGGAAGGGGAGATTGGAAGCACCGCTGAGCCGGGAGGGGGTTGTTGTTTTTCGTGTTTTGTTTTCAGCACCCCTGACCTGGACTCCAGGCAGCTTACCAACCCACAACGGGCAAGGGGTCACCAGGACAGGTCCAGAAGCCGCCTCTGGGCCTGGCTCCAGGACTGGGAAAGGGGGCTTCTGACGTTCAGAAGGAGTGGGGCCGGGGGGAGCCCATGTATTGGCTTCTTTTCTGCCTTCTCTCCCACTGCGGTCTTCAAGCAATTCCGTAGCCAAACCTCTAAGGGGGGGTGAACCTTCATCTCATGCCGGGGGAACTGTGGTCTCAAAGCGGTGTGGCTAAATGCCCTTTTCTGTCTTTGTAGTGGTGGGNCGTGGGACAAATGCAACAGAGTCAATGAAGTCCCAGCTCTCTGGCCGGAGGGATTTTCAAAAGGGAGCCCCAAGAAACAGAAAGTGGTAGGGAGACCGAGAGGAGGGGGCGCTTGGGAGGCTGCTGCTGAAGCGCAGCCCCAGGCACTGCTGGGGGACCTGACCTCCAGCCGCAGGCCACAGGATGGAGCCTGAACGGCGGGTGCCTGCAGCCAGGAGCCCTGACTGACCACCGGGGGGCACACAGCCCGACGGATCCGAGCAGCCTTGGAAATGGAACTGACCGGGGAGCTGCTGGGGACACAGCCCGTCTAAGGAGCTTGAGTGTTCGCTAAGGTGAAGGCACCAACGTTCTCAACAGTATTTAGACAAGGCCCAGGGCCTCAGGAGCTGCTGTTCCAATGGCCGGGGTGCAAACAGAAAGTCCTGGGCATGCTGGAATCGGGAAGCCGGCAACCGCTTTCAAGGGGAAAGGTGCTGGACAGGTGCCTTCGGCCGCAGACCCATCGGTCTGAGCCCGCGGGGAGGGGCTGATGGGTGGCGCCCGTCGGGGGAAAGGAAGGAGCCTGGGCCGGGGTTTCGCCTCCAGCCTTCGCTGCTGGGCCAGCGGGACTGTGGCTCCCAGGCCGCCGGGTGCTGGACTCAGCTGTCCTGGAGGGGCCGGGATGGTGGGGAGACGTCCACCTGGCCGGAGGGGCAGGGCCCAGGCCACCTGCAGGGCCCCGGTCCAGCCGCCGCCCGTGGCCTGTCTGGAGCCCGCCACACGTGCGTTTCCGCGCTGCCTGGAGGTGGTCCCCTGTCTGTCGCGGGGCGGGGACAGTCTCCGTCTCAGCGTCCCCCGCGTGGCGTCCTCTCCG